CGGTATTACATCGATCGAAATGGCGCGTTTCGTGTAGACCGAAATCAGAAACGAACTAGACCAACAATAAAACTGTGAAAACGTTTGTTTCCGTGTTTGGTTTAGCTACCATGCGCGTTCGCCCCGAGGTTCCTGCTGACGATATCTCATGTGCCGTGGGCTAGGACGACGAAGCGCTCGTTCAAGCCGCCAACGATGGGTCGCTCGAAGAGCTTCAACGGCTTCTCCGTGACAAGATCGACGTCAACGTTGTCCAAAATGGCGTATGTGCTTCTGCTCAAAGCCTCTCGAGGCCATCATCGTATCTCGTCTTGTGCACAGAGAACGTCGCTGCATGCGGCTGCCGCCAACGGGCATGTAGAGGTCGTTCGCGTGCTCTTGGCAGCCGAGGCCGACCCCTTTCGAACCAACGATGTACGACTGCTCGACGGCAGTTGTCGGGGCTGAGCCGAGTGTAGCACCACCAACTCCCCCGAGACGTTGCTGCCGAGCGCGGTCACTCAGCCGTCGTAACCTGCCTCAACACGGCCATGGAGCAGCTCTCCGGTTTCTTCCAGGCTCTCTATGATGTCGACGAAGCGACAATCTTGCGTCTTTTGGAGAACAACGTGCCAGTGAGCGTCCCCTACACGGTAGAATCCTACGTCCATGCACTGTCCATGCCAAATTCGATACGTAGTCGACATTGGCGTTGAGGCAATCGACGCCCAGCCATTCCGACACGGGTGACGACGACAACGAGACGACAGTACTGCCGATCGACGACCTGGTCGACTGCGGACGCTGCCTATAGGATGGCATGCTACCGCTCCATCTCGCGAGCATCAGCGGATCGGAGGTAGTGGTTGCTGCACTGCTGGCGCGTCCGCGCATCGATGTCAACGCCGTTGGTCGAGTACGCTTGTGTGTCATTATTGGTCGTTATCTTTCTCGGTAGCATCCGTGGCGAAGTACAGCGCTGCATTTGGCCGCAACAAATGATGGCGTCGGCATCGTTGTCACGTTGCTTTTGGCCGCTGGTGCGGCCGTAAATGCTGTCAACTTTGTACAAAAAAGTGTCTACATGACAATATTGTGTATATGTATTCCATAACTAGGTGGGCTGTACGCCGCTGCACCATGCGGCATCCACAGGGAATGTCCCCGTCGCGCAAGCGCTTTTGGAGGCGAAGGCGACCGTCGACGCGCGGGACAAGGTTGGCGCCATTGACGACTCTGTATTGCATCGGATGCGTAGGACCAGAGCACGCCGTTGCATGTCGGCGTGGCCCATACCAGTATCGTTGCCCTTCTTATCGCGGCCAACGCTGTCGTCCACGCCCTCGACAAGGTCTTATTTTGCGGCTGCACGGACGTTGAATTGATCGTTTGGCGACAGGGCGAGTGCGCGCCGTTGCACTTGGCGGCGCATCACGGCAATGTCGGGGCGGTGCAGCAGCTTTTGGACGCCAACGCGCAAGTGGACGCCCGGCATCAGGTAGACCGTTTAGCTTTGTAGAGGATGTTTCGAGTGCAGGTATGAAGCGCGGCTGCACACCGCTGCATTTCGCAGCAAGCGCAGGTCACGCCCCCGTCGTGTCCTTGCTTCTCTCCAAGAACGCCATAGTGGACGCCGTGGCAAAGGTATATCATCCGTGATCTCGGTCGTTTCTACAATCAGAATAGTCCGACTCGACGCCATTGCTCTTGGCTGCGAAACATGGACATGTCCAAGCCACGGCCTTGCTATTAGCCGCCAAAGCTTCGGTCGACGTGTACACGCTAGTGGTAGCCCGTTCACTTGACGGCGCAGTATTCGGATGATCAACTGCAGGACACATGGACACCGCTTCACCACGCTGCCGCCAATGGCCATGCAGAGGTGGTTCAACTGCTTCTACAAGCCAAAGCGGATGTGAAGGCATACGACAAGGTACTTCTACCTTGGGCTCGGCTCGGTGCTCATTCGGAAGCGTAGCAACACTTTACGCCGTGGCACCTTGCGGTCCTACAAGGTCATGCGAGCGTGGTCACAGTGATGCTAGCTGCAAGCGTTCCCGTGAACCACCGGTGCCAAGATGTACGTCGTCGTGTCTCGCAATATCATAGGAATCCCGGAGCTTGCTAGTACACGGCCCTCCACCTCGCTGCTCAGCAGGGTCATGCCAGTGTGATCACGGTGCTTTTGGCGGCCAAAGCGTCTGTCCACGCCCGAGCCACGGCGCCTTCCACGCACCAACACTCCAACTCGCGACCGTTGCACCGCATCACACCGCTGCACGTGGCCGCAAACAAGGGGCATGGCTTGGCCGTCGCCTTGCTATTGGCGGCCAACGCCCCTGTGAACGACCGGTCGTCGGTACGTCCCACCGGCTCGCCGTCAATTCATCAACCAAGTAGGACGGCAGCACGCCACTCTTATACGCAGCTGCATACGGCCACGTCGATGTGGTCCAGCTCTTGCTCGATGTACAAGCGGATGTCAACATTGCGACCGAGGTGCACCGGATCCGTCTCTATCTCGTCTCATAGAGGCTGTGCGCGTAGGATGCAGCCACGCCTCGCTCGGTCGCCAACGACCGCGGACACGACGCCGTCGTCAACGCGCTCGACGACGCTTTGAACTGTGGACCAAAAAGTACGTTGACCCTTCTGACTCACCAAGAAATGAACGCGCGCCCAACTAGTTAGGCTGGACAGGCCTCCACGTGGCCGCTGCGAATGGTCATACCAATGTGGTTCGCATGCTGTTGGGAGCACATTTCTCGGTCAACGCCAGAGGCAAACACGTACGACTCCTGCTCTTGTATCGGCGCGAAGAGCGAGGGCGACTGGTAGGACGGGGTCACACCACTCTTCCTTGCCGCCGAAGCGGGCTGCGCTGACATTGTTCAGCTTTTGTTGGACGCGTCGGCAAACCCGACGCTCGCCACCAAGGTGAGTCCTGTGACAGCAGCGACAGATCCACCGAGATGTCTAGAACGGCGACACACCGCGATCGGTCGCCAAGGCCAACGGGTACACGGCAGTGGTGGAGGCACTGGACGCCTACGTGAACCCCGCGCCTGTGAACGAGGTCCTTTTGTAATTTGATTGCTTGTCATATCCAGTGCGTAGCAGCAGCCGGCCCGAGGTAATCACTGGGTCCGCTGGTTCCTTTTGATCAAAGAGCGATGGCGCACGAGCCGACGAAAGAGGACAAATATTGTCTGCGCAGACTCTATTGGCTAAGAGACGA